TAAACGATTGAAATAATAATATTCTGAAAATTCAAAAAGTGGGGGGGGGGGCTAACTATACGCTCAAATTTTGAAATTTGAATACATAATTAAATAACGGTCAACCAACAAACGTCAAAATGTAACTAACAAACACCAACAAACGACCAACAAACGATTGAAATAGAAATATTCTGAAAATTACAAAAGTGGGGGGGGGGGCAACTATACGCTCAAATTTTGAAATTTGAATAATTAAATAACGGTCAACCAACAAACGTCAAAATGTAACTAACAAACACCAACAAACGACCAACAAACGATTGAAATAGAAATATTCTGAAAATTACAAAAGTGGGGGGGGGGGCAACTATACGCTCAAATTTTGAAATTTGAATAATTAAATAACGGTCAACCAACAAACGTCAAAATGTAACTATCAAACGACTAACAAACGCGCATAAAAGTATTTTGAAAATTCAAAAAGTGGAGGGCTAACTTGCACCGGTTTGTGCCACTTACGTGTTGACGTTTTCTTCGGAATTCATTTCTCGTTTGCTTTTTAATAAGTAGTTTATTAATGAACCAACGCGGGTACCAAAACGAAGCTTAGAAAAAGTGTCTTAAGCTGCGTACTGACTTGAGGACGAACGCGTATGAGGGAAGCTGAGGCGGTATTGAATACCGCGTGGATATTAAACACGTAACCACATGACTACAGGTTCTTTGAAGGACCGACGACAGTTTTTTCCTCATACGGCCTCATTCGCGTTCGTCCTCAAGTCAGTACGCAGCTTTACATTCAAATAGGTAAGTATATACTATTTCAGAGATAATTCTTGGTGTTAATTGACAGTTTTCGTAAAGTACTTACTCCGAAATTTTTCTAGTTTTATTAATGTGGAATGGAATCCCTTCAGTGGACAGTGGCGTGTAGACTGTAGGTGAACCCTAAGGTGCTGGCATATAACTTAAACTCGTGTGTACCCAAGTGGTTGCGAGTCTTTTGAAACCTCTGAAACAGAACACGTCATAATTCCCGGATGACTAATCTTTCATGGCGCCTCAATGAATGCGTATCGGGATTTGTGGAATATGCGCTACAATATCTTACTTCATTGACTAATCAGGGTCTGTACTAGTGATTTCAGATATAGGTAGGTAAATATAAAGCAATGAAAATAAAATGAATATTAAAATCGCTTTCGTACAAGATGTCATACGACCCTCTTCTTAATTTACAATTGGAGGGAGTGTTAGAGAGGAGTAATATTTTCATACCATACAAAAATCGATTTGTTCCCGGCCTTTTCTTCCTTGTACACAATAGCGCTAAAATATAACCGTATCCTTGGCCGCTCGGTATAGACATATTTCTGTATAGGCACTGAATAATTTATTCAATGGTATAGGCCAGTCTCCTCTTTCGATAATTTTGCTTCAACTAAATGTATTTCAGATCTTATCTACAGGATTCACTCACAAAGTATATAAAAAATAATCGGCATACTAAATATGTTGTCTAAATACGTTGGGATAATCGTGTGACTCAGGAGTACAATACCGGCACGTATTGAGAGATGAGATTGCCCTCCAATAACTTAAAATTACGATTGCACCTACATTATTGGTACCTATTGGGAATATTAAACGTAAAGTTGAAAGGTAATAAGATCCACAATATAAATTTCCGGAAGTATTTTGAAGTGAACAAATATCTTGGAAACTCACCAAAAATTCAACATACCGACAAGCAAACATGATGATAATACTGCAATGCACATTTCTTGCAGTGCCGAGGAAACTATTATTGCACCATTTGTTCCTTTTCCCTCATACCACATTAAATCACACACCATACAAACCTACCTATAACGATTAGAAAAACGTTTCGTCTACCTATCGATGAATTTTCTAAACTTTCACACGTCACATAAAGTTTTTCAGTTACATAACTATTTGATGGTTTGACAAAGTTAGACGAAGAACTTTGTTTTCCATTTTATGTCCGAAACTTTAAGAACATTACGAAGTGGAGAACAAACTTAATTTAGCTTTATAAAAGAAACTAAGTGCCTACTTGCCAAAGTACATAAGTAATGTCTCAATCTTAATGTTGTTTCCCTCGACTTAATTATACAGCCGTTTAATGATGTGCTTCAGTTAGCTTAATTAGTACTGTTTAGCAGATAAAAAGGGTGGTAGGTGCACAGATTAGGTACTTGTGGATGAAGTCGTTTCGGTTGGCGAGCTTCATTAAAATTCAAAGCGTTACGTTGTTTTATAAATGGGGTGTAGTATTGAGCGTATGCGCATAAAATGGAGTTAAGGGGGTAAAGAACCAAATAGCTATTTAACGTGACATGTGAAATAGTAAATTAGAATTAAGCACCGTCGAAGAATTTCGGTAAAACGTTGGGGCGCTATAGTTGACGAAATGTCGGAAAAGGTGAATAATTAATTTATGAAAGTTGTGTGGACTCGCACGTTTCGTCAATTTACAGCCGGTGGGGTGGAGGGTGTTAAATGTATTATTGTATAATTCGATATAACTTAATTTTCGTCGGTGAATGCTCATTCCCCGAAAATATGCGACAAAATGGTACGGTACTGCTGAACTTGAGCATCGAAGCTATACAAGGATAAAATTCAGTTAACTTTATGATAAGCTCCCGGCTCCGGAAATAAAACTGCGATCCTTCTCCGCCGCATATTACTTCTTTTATACAAAAGTTACAATAAGTGAATGACCTCTGAAATTGTTCTGTATTCGTTTGACAACATAATCTATACTTTATTCTTCCAAAACCTGTAAAGCAAAAAATTGGGTATGTATCTTGGATTGAAAGGAGATTATAGTTGATTTAATAACTGGAACCAGCTAACCGTCTGAGCACGAAAGGAATAGTTATTGCAAATACCAAACAAGTAATTTAGAGAAATGCGAGAATGATGACTTTTATGGGAACTTTTTAATGCTATCAGTCATTTATGATCACCCCTCATAACGAAAAGAAACTAAGTTCAACATTCAAGACATTTAACTACACACAACTAAATAAAACGTTTAAACAAACATTTGTAAAATAACCTAAAAATTGTCTTAACTAAACAATTAGAAATTACACTTTCTCTTTTTTCTTGTATGTAATAAAAAAATTAAAAAAAAACAACAAGCAAGACGCTATTAATCTCAATTTGATAACATTAATCTGCCTCAATGGGAGGATTCCACGGATGCGAGTGATTTCCGGAATAGGACAGTGCCAATGTTGAACGAAAGTCAACGTTTCGTCCACTTTCGTAAGGGGCTTTATGCTTCATCAGGACAAGAAATCTGTATCATACTGTAACTTTGCCAATGGCCATTAGTAGCAGAGGCCCGTTATTAATGAATGAAATTTTATAAAAATCCACCCAAATTAAATTTAATGGTCACGAAGCACCACAGACGAAAGCGTTAAATAAAGATGAAATCACAAACCGAAACAGGTATCATGATAAAAAACGACAAAATAAAAAACAAACATCAATTGAGGTTTTGTTCTATGTGGCCACCGTTTTTTTCAACACATAATGGCATGCATTAACTCCGGTGCGTTAACTCCGGTGGTAGTCGCCTCTCGAATTCCTACTCCATTTCATCAAAAGCTCTTCTCACCCGAACTTCCAGTCCTTCACGAGAAACAACTGGTATAACTTTGATTTTTATAAGACCCCACACATAAAAGTCCAGTGGCATATAGACATATAGGCATCATGGGTAGAATGAGCCGGCGCTCCGTTAAGTTGAAACCCGTAGTTTTCACCACGTAATGTTTCCAAGGATGGTACAATGACATCTAGTAACGCGTTTATTTCAAGGCCTCTTAAGAAAATTATGCATATAATAACGTCACAATTCTAGAAAATCTTAAATAAAACGAAAACCATAGATAACAGATAGATATAGGGAATGTAATAATTGATCGATGTAGAATTTTTTACGACATTTGAAGTACAAAAATATAAAACCGGTGTTATTTGACAAAATCAACTTTTTAGGTTCGAAGTTATTAAACTTAACCATTAGTTTTAAAATACCCTGTAGAAGGGTGATCAAAATTAAAATCATTCGCATGTAGCATCTTAGTATTGTTGATTTTGGAAAGAAAAGCAGTCAAGCGGCTAATGTTTTGAAAAATCTTGAATGTAACTTGAAAACCTTTGATGCTGGGTATAGGAAAATGTGGTATCAAACGACGTAGATTTTCATGTAGATTTCGAAAATGCAATAAAATATAGGTGGTTCTATTTAAAATAAGAAAGTCGCTATCCACATCCGGTAAAACCGGCAGTAGAAGTGAAATGATCAGGATAATATTTTCTTTCGATAGATCATGAAAAACTATGTTGGTACGCAAAGTTTCAGATTTAAATTATTAATGCAAGTCTGAATACTTTAGATAGCGGTTTGCGTGAAAACAGCCTGTATAGGTCGACCAAAACTCCCACTTCCATTTTTCATAATCCGCATTATTTTCGCAACACTTGTTCCATCACGTAAACAAAATGATATTAATTATTGTCTTATCCAAACCTTATAACTTTTAACACACCTGTCTAAGATTTCATCACTTAAATATCTTTTATCATTTTAAATAAAAGCAATAATTTCGCATATTCAACCATTTAATTAAATAAAGACGAATCATCGGTCGGGTGGTAAGAGTTTCTCACACATAAAAAAATTACGCAAAAAAATTACAGGTGGCATGGCAGCCTTTTACATTCGCATCAGAATTAAGCTTTTAGCAAACAGTATTATGTATTCTTTGCTTTTAGATTAAATATAAAGAATTTGCTTCCATTCTCTTTATTGATTTTGCGTGAACAGTTCCTCCTGCGAGGTTTTCCATTCAAAGGTACCGGTAACTCTGACAATAATGTCTGATAGGTGCATGGGAAATAGAAACATTGAATAAAACATCTAGTAAATTGTATTGTTCACATGTAAGCCTAGAACTAATGCTAGAACTTACCTAAAAGTGTCTCAATCGACCAATTTGGTACGCCGTATTATATAAAACAATGCATCTCGCTCCGTGGAAAGGGGTATCCAAACAATCAAAGAAATGCACTGCACAAATTCAGCTTCCTTTATCTGCAAGTAAAAAGAAACAAAATAAATTTCAAAAGCGACTCTCTTCATTTTTCAGGAGCTCAAACAGAAATCTCTTAAAACGGTTTGTAATCACGTACTAAATTGACAAAGGGGGTAGACACCCGCATCAAACTTTACCAAGTTCCAGTAAACAGAGAAATTAATTATCGCAGTTATTTACACTATACCGTATACGTATACTTTGAAATCGAGTGGCTAAAATTGTTTTTGTTGTACAGAATTCCGATTTGAACATGCAACGTGCAAAGCTGTTTTTAAGATATACACACCCTCTGATTTAGTGCTGACCCCCACGCGTTTGAAAGCACGAACAACCCTTTAGTTCAGTGCAGACTACCAAATCTTTTTTAAAGCATGTATTTCGTTAATACTTTGTTAGTGCTTTCTAGTGTTTTCATATTTTGATGGCGATTATAGGTTTAGGAGTCATGTTTGGATCCGGAAATAGAATTCGTTTTAATATTCATACTCAAAATGTGTAAAAAGTAGCAACAGTATTCGTGTTTCCAAATATGGACCGGATGTCTTGTGGCAATAATAGGAAGTTAAAAATCTGGTTAAATTTCTGAATTTCAAAGGTTTTAAAATGTGACCAGTGCAATTTTGAAACTAATTATTATTATAAATCTAGTTTTATAAAACATTCGTTAATGCACAAGAATTTCAAGGAGTTAAAGTGTACCCAGTGCGATTATTCAATACAGCTTCAAAAACCATATGTTAATACAGAATAATTCCAGTGTTGTAAAATGTGCACTGTGTTATTTTACAACCAATTATAAATCCCGTTTCAAAATCCACTTGCTGTTGAAGCACAAAAGTTCCATAGATATAAAACGAGACATAAAATGCGCCCAGAGTTAATTATACTACTAAAGTAAAGGCAGTTTTAAAAATCATTTGCGCACAAGACTTCCAAAGATCTAAAATGAGCTCAGTGTAACTATGGAACTTTGAAGCTCACTGGCAATTAACGCTTGCAAAACGTTGCATGTCCGGCATGTATTGTCTTACCATTTAAACAGAAACTACTGATGTTTTTAACGTAGCTTACGAGTGCACGAGTAAGTGCCAGTACTCAGGACCGATTGGCCACAGAAACGCAAACTGGTATTAAGAGTTGAAATGACCTGCGGTTTACAGAACTAAAATATCTGGCTCAATTCTGGCCTTACTAATGGCTGCAGTACACTTTTTACTACCTAAACCAGCAGATACCGAATGTACAAAATTACCGTCGCTATGTTTCCAAAATATTTTAGATCGCCAGAGCGTGCTGTATTCCAGTGGTGTTTCAAATTTGCGTTAAAAAAAATGGAATACCTTATATTTTTTGCAGATTTGGAAAGTACTTCAATGGTACTTAATTTTTTATGTAACATATTATACCCTTAACTTTAACGATTTTGCTGTTATAATCTTTTTTCCTCAAAATTAGACAGTGTTGAGATTTTTTTTAGATAAAAGTTTTGAATTGAGGCATAGGCTATACGACCTCTTCCACTGTCACATTTTTTTTTAATTTTTGATTTTGAAAGTATAATGTATTCGATTCAGTTACTGAATGTTAAATTAAAAGAAAAAAAAACCTTGCAGTGCTGTGAAATTCGACAGTGAAAATAATATTGCTCATCTGTACCTCACTTTACTCTACCGAGTTTCATTGACGACCTCGTCTGCTTCCTTTACAACCAAAATATTCATTTTTTAAAAACCACGTTAAGCTTGCTTCTTAATATTGTAGAGAATATTCTAGAAAAGATTAGCAGTCGCCGATTAACGAAAGCGGATTCTTTCCGGGAAATATGACGTGTTTGTTCGAAAACATTCTTGAAGATTCGGGAGTGTTTGAGAACATTCGAGAAAGATGGGCGTTTGATATATACGTAAATCGAATTGCGCTTCACACTCGTGTTATGTTATAAATATAATGTCGTTTGTGAATATTATTATGACGTTTTGTTTGGGCACTGGTTATTGTAATAATCTAATAATTAATAGCAGGTACTCGAGATTGATGTAGTTTAATGTTAACATGTAATAAAGTACATCGTTAGCATGGCTCAAAATCTGTTTAGTGCACTTTCACTTTAAAAAAACTGCACTTTTACGCTCTAATTGTCTGTCTGTCACAATGGCTCTGGAACTACACCACTTACAGGCTTGGTATTGGTGTCATTTGATCAGAAATTAAAAATTATTTCATGTTTGTATTCTCGGGCTATTAAAATCGAAAATACAAATTTGAAAGTGCACTCTTCGCCTCTTGCTCACAAGTGGCCTATAACGAATTCTTTTTTCTCTTAAACATAACATTACGAGAGTTTACATTACAGAAACCGTAATTGAAATTGATTTTGTTCCATAAAGCAAACAATATATTCTACCGAATGTAACAAATGCATTTAAAACAGCTTTGGTAGCCTAAGTTTAAGTCCTGTGCCCAGTTTCTTCCGCCTGGTATCTGAAAACCTGGCATAATTTAACCCAGTATTTGTAATGGATATTACCCTGTATTACCCTACCCAATAGATACCCTTATTTAATAATATTGGAAATTGTCATTACACGATCTAGACTCTAGAGAAACAAAATTTCAAAAGGATTTCGTTTACTGAAGCAAATTACGTAGGGAGAACGTTTTTACTATAATCGCCACAAAATAGTTAAGCTTTAGCGAATTACGACGAAGATAGATGAGACAAGAAGAGAATCACTCTTGAGCAATATTTGCAGAATTATTCTATGTAAAAAACAGAGAGATTTGCTTAATGCTCTTGTCTATATTAGTCGAACGAAGACAAAAGCTGGGTAATCCTGAAATAGGTGTTTGTTAATTACTAAGATGCAAGGTATGACTGCTTCCGCTTTATGGATACAATTTCAAAGATGAATTAGGTATCTAACTACGACGCTAGCGTATACATGTAGAACAGGAGCAGTAAACCATTAACCAAGCAGTTTGATGTGAAATTTAACTCAAACAAGAGTTACTTACAGTTTGAGATATCATCCAAATTTAATTAAAAATCACTTAACGTAACAAATATTGAGAGACCCGTTCACATTGTTTTTGAAGTTTACGGAAGTAAACACTAAAAAGCTTCGTTCCGCTCGAATGGCAATTGCGATTTTCCATTTATGAAAACCTATAATTAACTTTCATGACGCGTTTAGTCAATTTGGAACGTCGATTAAAAGTCCAATTTCGATTCGAACTCGCAAAATGGGGAACAAGTTTGGGGTTTAACTTAATGAGTTTTCAATAATGATGCGAAATGTCCTGTGCACCTAGTCAACTCCATAAATTAGGCTAGTATAAAATTATAACTTTGTGTTGTTACAGTTCCACGAATTTATTTTAAAAAGGATGGAATACATAGTGGAAATTACAGTTTTAACCACTTCCACAACATGACATTCTAACATATTCATATTTATTACCGTACCTTATCATTTGCATTCCCTTGAGTTATAAAAAAGAACAATTTCCCCAGCGAAACTGATGATGACCGAATAAATTCCATTTTTCCAATAAAAATTGGCCAAATTCGAAAATTTCAAATGCGCATTTAATTCTTTTTGTAGACATTATTCGAAAAAATTCACAATTCGGGGATTATGTGTCGAAGACTATGAATTTTGTTTGTTTGTTTGGAGAAAACGCCAACCCTTGACAAATACCTAACGTAAGAAAGAATGCCATTGAGCGGCTCCCCCGGTTCTTAAATACGAAGGAAGACAGTTCCTTTGCGTATTTATTAAATTTATTATTAGAAATGAAATGTGTAAAAAATCTTCGTCCCACAACTATTACTTAACGAAAAATCCTAATTACTGTTGAGGAGTAAGTGGAAAATTAAACAGTGCGTTCTCCTCCTGATCAGCATTTAATCATGACATTAAGTTTAAGAAAAACGCATCATAAAAGCTTTTGAGATAAACCAGTAAAACTAAGATAACGTCTTTAAGATTAATTTTTTTACGTGGGGTTCTTTGATGCAAAGCTTTTTGTCTTGCTAAACCTAAAAGCTAATCGATATTTCCATGTCTCTTATTAAAGCTGAAGTTCCGTTATACGACACGGTGTCAATTGAAAAGTTGTTCGATAAATGACATTTGGGAATAGTGCAGAAATGTGTCATCGAACACACGTTTCTTTTGAACTCGTCTATCTTTTTTAAACGCTATAATACACCGTTTGGAGGGTGGGTATAGACGGAATGCGTTAAATGTCAGAAATGAAATGGGAATTGACTTCGTCTTGAAATCAATTTCCGTTTCCGCATTCGTTAAATTTTGTCGTTTTAGCGTATCGTGTGTTCATTGCTTGTTTATTGCCTGCGAGGTATATGGAGTGGAGATGCTAACTTCTAGATGATATAAATTTTCAAGGTACCTGCGCAACAATTTAATTACAAAGATGAAATATGAAATACCGTAGAATAATTTCATATGTAACGTTTCTTGTAAATATTGCAATTTCCAACGCTGTAAATCACTACTATACTAAAAATATTATAACACTCTCCCCACCATTGCTCTCCAGCCTCATTTTTAGAGTCTTTTCCTCAAAGTGAAAAATCGCATTATTACTACAGGTGCTGAAACCAACAAAAAGTTCCGCATGACGTAGTTTACATAACAATATGAACAAAAATTGTATTTTATACGTATGGTATAAAACTGGTCTAAAAAAAACACATATCAAACTTCTAATTGCGAATTTATCGTTTTAAAGCTGTTGTTGCCTGGGTGAACGAAAATATCTCTATTACGATAGCTTAGGGCGTTAATTATAAAATACAATGTAGGTATATTTTAGAAAGAAACTGATAGAACACAAGAATGAAGGCATGAGTACGAGTAATTTACCTATATACAATCCAATAATTATTTGCCTCGTTATCCTAATACCACGTCGTTTATTTTCCATTAATAATCGCACACAAAATACTGGTAATTTTGGTCGGATAAAG